TGCTAGATAGTGTGGACTTCATTCTTCTCAGATGTCAGCTGGTAAAAGATGGATACTAAAAATAGCTGTCCATGAGAAAAGGTAGACATCATTAAAAAAATCACACTGAATGAAGGTGGTGGCATGATTGATTTGTGATATTTAGAATGACGAAAGCAGGAAAAACACATTGAGCCTTTTCCTATTCACCAGTAAGTTAATTAGATTTTGGATTCCACATTCAAACTGGCTGAGATTAAATTTATTGATGGCATGCTTCATTATGGTTTGTTTCTCTGGAAAGATAATTGTTATTACAGCTTCACAGATGTTTTTGTTGCAATCACAATTGACATTCATAACAAAGTTTCATTTAACATAGAATATTTTAAGAACTTTCTTTCTTTCTCTTCAATTATTATTTATGGAGCACAGTTAAAGGAAGCAGGCTATTAAAAAATTAGAACTATTGATTCAGGTAATTATTTGAACGTGTGAGTAACATTTCATGTTTTCACACGTAACAGGATGATCAAGCTGAAGATAGCCTTAAAAAGGATTGAACTCCACTGCAAGAATTAGCTGACTAATTTGGAAACTTGAGCACATGGTAAATACACCTTGGCTTGCAACTCTAATGATTACAGTTTGCTGAGGTAATTGAAATGTTAGCCCCCATGCAGGAACCTTCCACATAACTTGTACAGTCATGTGCTATCTGCAACTGGGATTATGACTATTTTAAAAGACTTAACTACATGCCGTATAGGTACAGGCAGGTGTTGTAAAAAACGTTTGGTTAGCTTTCTCATTAGTGTACATTTCTTTTCCTAAGAATTTTGTTTATCCAGCCTGTGCTGAATTCTAATTTTTCAACCAAATTTCATTATTTTTTAAATATTATTAGATCTCCTTTTATCAGTTAATATTTATGTAATTCAAATAATTACATAAACTCTTGCAAATGTATGGCATATTATTTTTTCTCTGATCCTCCTAACATTTTACCATGAGAAGGGACTGTTATTGGCTATAAAAGCATAGTCAAATTAAAGTTTTTTGCACAACTTATGCATCAAATTTTTGCTATAGAATATTGTATCCTTCTTAAAACTAGTTTATCAGAATAAGAATGAATTATTGGGCACAGGTATGGCTTTCACGATGATAGTTTCCAGGTTTGAAAAAAGTCACTGCCTACTAAAATCTTCAGTTCCTTTACCCTGACAGCCCAACCTCGTCAAAATATTGCCAACAGGAGTGATTAGCAAATTATTGACACAGACAAGAGAGCCTATTTCCACATATTCCTCCTCGATCCTGTTAGCTTACTAGGGACATGGCATTTCAAACACGGTGTATATGCCACAATTTTTCCATTTCCCTGACTAATTATTTTGTAATAGTGTTTGTATTATATTTCAACCCAACCATTTTCCACAAGATATGTGGAAAAGACTTGCCAGTAGATAGTCAGATGAAAACTTTTCCCATATCAATAAAATGTATTATTGCGTTTCATGTTAACATGTTGCAACAAATCCACCTTTAAGTAAATTCTATTATTTGCAAAAATGAGAAAATACTATCTAAAACTTTTCAACCTATTTAATATAGCCAATAAAAACATCAACTCAACTTTTAAACTTAAGAGAAAACTTATTTGATGTTTGTAATTGATTTCTGTGCTATAAAAATGACGTTCAGGTTTAGCTCAAGTTTTCGTAAAGACACCCACATTACATGTAGTTACAGCAGAGGTTATCGAATTAAATAAGAGGAAAAATCTCAAAAAGACATCGTGTATTTCCAGCCAGAGGACAATCATTAGACGACAATAGCCGAAAGCGAAAAAGTTTTAAAAAATTACATAGATTCAACCACGAGTTTAAATTACTTTTTTTTATTTTCTACGCTAAACAGAGGAGGTTGAAACGTTGGGGAAAAACAGTGGGGTAAGCATTCCTACCTGGCAGCTTCAAGAGCAGATATAAGAGAAGCCCATACGATTCTGGCGCATCGTTTTACTGACTCACTGTGCTCACTGCACGTGTATATTGTCGTTTCTTTCAATTTTGGCTCATTTTCCCAAACCGAAATTATAACTCGGGCTCAATAGAATACAATTTCAATTAATGCTGACATCATGCGCTTCCTCTGAAGAAGAAAACATTCCCTATCTTCACAAAATTTGGTCAAAACATTAAGAATAACGACGAAGGTCGTAAGCTGTCTAAAGATACCGCTGACTAGCATGCGTGTAGCTGTGAGAATATCGTCCCCAGGTTCCAGACTTCGTCAATTTTTTCCCCACCTCCCC